CGCGAGCAATGGAAAAAGCCAACCAGCCGGGCAGCGAAACTTTTCAGGCACGTTTCTTCCCCTTGTATGTACTCCTCCCCTGACGACCAAGACTCTGAAAAAGAAGGAGCCTTACCCACTTTTTTTATTACTCCTGTGTGTGCCTCTCTGTAACACAATATGCTTTAAATTAGGCTTGGGCAATAGGGGATGGGTTGCGTGCGCTTGCCGAAAAATATGATTACTTCACTTGTGTTTTAACGGGACCTCTGTCAGAAAAATAAATGGTTTGTCGCGCTTGGGTGCTTCCTGGTGTACCTACATAAATACACCGCTAAATCGGGTGACTTTTCTATTAGCTCAAACGTATAACACTAATTTACTCAGTTTTCAATCAACTTTTGGCAGAAATCAGGCATTGAAAAAAGTTTGGACAATCATTCATACGACTCGATTTCCACGTTTCACCCTTTGCATGGTAAAAAACCAATTTAAACCTAAGTGAGATGATGGTATTTCTCCGTAGTTGATAGTATTAGAAAAAAAATTGATCGGTTCCTGTAGGAAAAAAAAAAAAAATGAGAGAGTAAAAAGTTTTTTTCAAACATGAATGTAGCATGAAAGAAAGTTAAAAGCCTTTAGTTTGAAAGTTTCGATTAAAAAAGAACTGCAACGTAATTAAAAACAATAAAATCACGTGTATCTTTTGGATTACACCAGCAGGAGCTCTTTTATAATCCTTTTTTCAATGCTTTCACAGTTTTTAATCTTCTTTTTTTTTGTTTTTTTTTTTTTTTGTCCAATTTCTCTCAATACACTCCATGAAACGGCGAGCTGACGGTCACCAAACCCCGACCTCCTTTGTACGACTTATTGTAAATTTGAAAGAGGAGAAAATAAAAAGGAGAAAGTTGAAGCGTAAGCTACAGGTCGTTGCGTCAACGCTCGTACCAAGTGCGTCAATGATGATCGCGGAAACACGCCATCCTGCTTTCCCTCTCACGTGGGTAAACGAGTGTGGGTATCATTGAGCGCATCCGGAAACAGTTCTCTGGGAGGTTCTCGATGTTAAAAGGTAAGCAAACGATTACGTGCGTCAATAGGGCAACTTTTCAAACTAGAAACGTTTTCTGTAACAATTATTCTAGTGTTACATTCACGAAAAAAATTATCATGACTTTTCGATGATGACGAAAAGGCCAGAGTTAGTGTTGTTGATCGTTCTGATTCCATTATGTTTACTTTGGTTCTCGAAAGCTATATCTAGTGTCAATAAAAGTGGCGAGATTCTATTTGAAATGAAAAGAAAAAAAAACCTTATGGCCGTTGATCATCAAAAAAATTCCAACTGAAGATAACATGCATCTTATAAAATTTCACACGTATCTTACGGCTTTTACAGCTTCCCGATCAAACAGGCTCGCATCATCTCTCTCTATCTATGTTACAGCCCCCTTTAAATCCCCTTTCCCCTGTGCTCGCATTAGCTCCGTTTCCATTTGATTTTACAACGTGGCTGTTAACCTTACGAAATTAAATGATATAAAAAAAAACAGCGTGCACGCAATCTGCCTCTAAAATTCTCAAGTCGGAACAGATGCAAGGGATCAAAGAGCATCATAATACGCGTCTATCGCCGAATAGGTATACAACGATCGGTCATTTACACGCTCGGGTCGAAGCCCCCATGTACCTATACCGGTAAATCCCGAAAGGCGATAACCTACCCCGCATAGGTATATTATATATTATATACTTGGGCTGCACCGCTCAGGTAAACACTAGCTCGTCTGTGTCCGTGAGCAGCTGTGCGCCAAAGTTATACAGCATTACGTGGAAAATCCCAAGCGCCTATTTCTCCTCCCCGTGTGCAAGTACCAAAGTATGGGGTTTTCTACATATGCGTCGCAGCCAAGCTTTCCCACTCGTTGCTGTTTCTTCATCATTTACGAGTGGAGTTTCTTGCCAGCTCCCCCTGTTTGGATCTCTTCCTTTTATTGCCTCCCCCTTCTCTCTCTCTCTCTCTCTCTCCCGGGACGACCCTCCATCCACATTCTTTTCTTTTGTTGACACCCGTTGCGTTGCATCTCCCCAAAATTGCATAGCGAACAGAAAATAGTAGTTTTCCTACGAGTTTGAAAAGTCTTTGTTTGCGAACCGAGAGGTTTACGTAACGAGGTTCGTAAAGGAGACTTTTCGAACGAGTTCCGGAAAACTGCTTTTTCGCCCGAGGAAGTACCAGCCTCCCAAAACCACCCGAGGGTGGAAAAATAATATTTGTAGGTGCCATACGGTAGGGATCGTGTTGTTTCATTCATTTTGTCGATCCAAAATTTTACGCTTTGGTCGCCCACTGTGATTAGATGGAAATTTTACGTTCGTCTGATCCTTAAATTATATGTTTCATTTAACGAATTGTTATTTAAATTTTGATTCACAAGTTTCATTTGAATGTGGTAAATTGGAAAAATGCTTTTATTGAGTCAAAGCGAGTACTCGCGTATCGAGTCAAACACAATTATCTCGTGTCAGCTAAGCAAATATTGGTACGGCCGATTCGATTTATTCCTCGCTGCAAGCTCGAATCGTTTCAAGAACTTCTCTTTACCTGTGTGCAGGAAAAAATTTTTATTTACACGTTGGATTTGTATGCGCCGGCGTTGCCGAAGCAATTTTAACTCGAAGCTTTGCTAAAAGCTCATGTAAACAGTGAATTTTGCTGTGAAATTTTTAAGTAAAGAATAAAAAAGTAGAGCTACCAAAATACAAAAGATAAAGTAAAACCAAGAAAAATACAAAACTAATATATTAGGTATTCACATCTAACAAAGCTCAATTGTATAAAAACCTAAGCTTTAACACAGACTTATGTGCATACTTCGGTCCTTTGGTCTTATTGCAAAAAAAAAAAAAAAAGATTTTGCAAGCAAAGTATGCAGCGCAACGGACCAATAACCTTTTTAAAGGGTCCTTTACATTGTCAAAGCGCACCAAAACCAGTCCCTCACCGTCTGTTTTCTCTCATGGATAAGCAGCGAGCGCTGCTAGAAAAATTATGAGAACGCTTGCATGAAAAGGGGAAAAAAGAAGAGAAAATGCTCTCCCTTTCAGGGATTTCATCGACATTACTCTGCAAGTGTACGATGCAAGTATTGTTGTTGGTCGCATAACGAAAAAAAAAAAAACGCACACTGCTTTGTCCCTGCAAATTCTGTCACTTGCTCGCAACTTGCTCTTTAGAAAATATACATGAATAAAATGTGCATTATTTCGCAGTAAGCAGAATTTTTTGGCAATAAAGGTATTTTTACTTTAACGCAATACCAAGAGAACGTACAGTCTGGTGGGTTGGAGGACAATGACATGTTTAAAGTATATTTCCCTATTTTCATTCACGAGCCAGAGAGTCTTGCCCAGTGTAATAATTGTATGCCAATTAAAGTTTATGGCAACAATAAATACAAAGTAAAATGTACACTAAGAGACAGTTCAGACGGAATATCATGCAAAAATGATTTGCATATGCATTTATGATTGAATTTGACATACATTTTTAATTATATAAAAACTATATGTTATTATGTAGTTGTTTTCACATACCTTATTCAACGAAGCAACAACATTTGAAAGAAAACATCTGTTATGAGCTTAAAACATCTAAATCAGTCCAAAACTCTTAAAGAACCATCGAGTTCATAATCAATCATGAGGCAACGTTATCTTTGTTAAAATTCGTGCCTTGAAAAATAATCATTGAAACTTGCACCAAAAATGTTAATTACATGAAAAGTTATGTATCTATGAGGGCAGCTTAAGTAATGACTGAAAATACTGTATATTGTTGCATACCAATTCAGCCACACTATGTCTCAGAGATTGAAAATCAGGAGAGCAAGCATTTTGTAACAAAGTTCTATTGCGTGATCAAATGAGCATATATGTATGATAAATCAGTTTCATTCATTTCTACATTAAACCTTTACATAACCTCTTCATCTTTTATAAGCCACGTATGTTCATATCTATGAAGTAGTATATGATACTAAGTTAATAACAATCAAAACTTTGAATAAAAAGACGTGAACGCTTACCTAAAATACTGTTCGTATAACCTCAAAAACGACTCGCTCACTCGCCCCTCTCTCCGATCATAGATCAAATACATTTCTTGCATTATTGTTACTGTCGGATATAATAAAAATTTGTTACGCTTATACTTTTTGTCCAAACTTAATGAAGTTGTTTCAAATCATTAGCTTTATTAGCATGAATCAAGTACGTGCCAGCGATGAAATTTCGACTGGCCAAGGGGGTCGAAACAGAGAACCTGAAACGCAATTAATATATTATGTTCTTTGCCTACATTTTCACAGTTGAAACAAAACGCGAAATTAATTACATATCTACCTAATAATGCAACAGGAGCAAACTGCGCTAGCGAAAATGACACAATAAAAAACGTTGAAAAGAACGGCAAGGACAACAAGGACGTCAAGGACGCGTTCATATTTCCACTCACACACAATAAGTACACACAGTTAATAACAGTGTAGGTGTTGGTAGGTGTAGTTATACATATATATATATATATATATATACATACATATATTCAGGATAGAAAAAGAATGTACCGTATATCTAAAATGTTTACCGTACTATTTATATACTAGATAATTGGTAATATGGATTTAACACCATAATTAGGCCCTTGGGAATATTACATATGTTTTCTTTTTTATATTATAGTGTACTGACCCCAATAATAATTGTGTACCTATATGTGAAACGGAAAAAAAAGCGAGCCGACTCTGCACCTCTGCAGCCGACACAGCCGACAGACATCAGAACAGAACGGACCAAACGCAGAACACGTGTGAGTGAGAAAGCTGCGCGCGCACCCCAAACAAACAGCGCAGCTGTACGCCGGCTTTCCGCTCCGCGTGGCTCGTACACGACTCCACAAGTCCAAAGCCGTTGTATAGTACCGCCGAAAGCGTTGAGATGAGAGGATTGTTCTGTAGTTAACTGTGTTTAAAACAAAAAGTTTTGTTCCTATTAATTTCGTTATTGTTGCTATGATAATAAAACAGTTGTTTGCCCATCACGTGACGATGACATTGTGTAGTAGAGAAAAATAGGATACCTAAACCGTTTTGTGCAGACTGCGAATCTACTTGTGTAAAGCAGATTGTGAATTGGTTACTATTGTCAGTGAATGCACACCATGTAAAACGCTATTCTTTTCTTGACGTTCCAAAAGAGGCAGAAACAATTGTATTTGTGTTTCGTGAAAAAACGCGGTAAAGTGGCTAGCTGCTGTCGTCGTCGTTCGTTGGTCATTCAAACATTGTCTCAAGCGATTCGAACGTTGCTGGCAGCCACTCCTGGATTCGCGTGTGTTTGAAATATAGGTACCTGTACACAATTGGTTTTGTATAAACTCCAAACGCTCAAGCATGTAATTGAACGATATTTATCTCGGAAAAACGCGAAAAAGTTGAGAATAAAGTGTTAGCACAGAAGTGGTGTTAATAGTACTTGTACAAGTTCATAATACAGACAGGCAGTAGGTTAACACAAAAACGTAAACAAACAAAGGGCGGATATTTGGCACACCCGCTCACACCATGTCGTGTGGGAAATTCGCCCCTTTTCCCAGGCTAATATGCCGCAACCTATTGCTACTCGCATTGCTGGCACTGCATGACAGTCATACCCTTGCTATCGAAGCCAATGCCAGCCAAGGCATCGTCGGCAGCGAAGTGCCCGAGGAGCCACTGACCTTGACCATCCTGCACTGCTGTCCAGAGGGCATGGACTTGGACGAGCAGCGAGCACGAGATCACGGCAACGAGCCAGTCATGGCACAGTGCATCCTGAGCTCCGAGGTGCACCAGCCACTGATCTACTCGCCAAGTACCCGTGGCTTCCTCCACCAGTATCCGGACGACTGGAGGACGGTCCATGGCCGGCTGCCCGAGTGCTCCGAGGATCAGGTGATCCGGTACGTACCTCAGAGCCAGCATAGCGCGTACGTGCTCTTCGACGACGGCAACGTGGCTCTCGAAGGTGGCATTGGTACGATATTCAGGCCCGAGGAGTATTGCTTTGGCACCAAGTCGCTGCTCGCCTGCATGCCCAGGAGAGAGGAGGGCAGACAGGATGCCGTGACAATGCTGCCCAAGATGCTCAAGTGCTGTGGTCCCAGTGCTGTTTATGTCGGGTATGTTATCTGTATACTTACTTGTTAATTTACCTTTTTCATGCACAAATGATAATCCTTTCAAGGGTCGTAGGATGGAATTTATGGCACAGAGGGGACAGTGTAGGGGCGAGTAATAAAAAAAGAAACTGCATTCTTTCTATCTCTCTCTCTCTCTCTCTCTCTCTCTCTCTCTCTCTCTCTCTCTCTTTTGGCAGATGGTGTCTGGTGTTTATGTCTTTCATCTCTAACGTTAATGAAGTGCGAGCTGAGAGTTGTATGGTATTGTTTGTGTACTATTGACTACAAACCTTTACCATCCTGGTGTCAAGTATTTGTAAACACACTCTTTGTATATATACTCATCCGCTACGCGTGTATGTGCTTCGAAGCAATCAGCTGATCTTAACTAGCTGACTAGATGTTTCTTTTCAACGAGCGTGAGGGATTATCTAGACTTTTATAAGTCAGCGTTGGTTGTTGTTGAATAATTTTTATTGCTAGTAGCCAAAACTCGTGTATATTTTTTTTTTTCTTGTCAAGTAAAATGTTCATAAAATAACTTGATTGGAAGTTGTTAATAAGACATTTAAAATTTAAAGCTCACGTTGGAGACTTAGTTTTTTCAAACAAAAAAATGTGCTTGAGTTTTAATAAACAACTGTGTTTTTGCTGTCACATTATGTGTGCCATCATTAATTTCATCTGAAGAACCAAGCTAATATTTGTACTCAAAACTTATGCTATATCTGTATATATTTTAAGGTGTAAATTAATTTTGTTTTCAATGATGTCACGTGAACAAATTACAGATAATTATTGTCATGATTCATTTATGTCTTTTTATTTTGCTTTGGTACTTGAATAACAAATTTGCTTTGCCACCAAAAAATGTAGGTAATATAACTTGATGAAAAAATAATTTGTAGTGGTTTGATTGAAAAGAAACTAGAAAAGAATTAAAAGAAAATTGAAAAACTAAAGTTTTATTGATTTCCATCACAAAAAAAAAAGAAAAAAATGTTACAGAAATGTTTTCATTGTTTAAAAAACGATTGAGCGGAATTGCATGAATAAAACAATCATATGTGTCCCCGGGATCAACAATATAACTTAAATAACTTATAATTGCGATCCTGACTTTAATTGTCGTTCATATAAATTTACGTGTGTAAGTAAGAGTCAGAGGCCATTCTGTTTCATTTCTTTACAAGCTTTCTCGCAACTGGATGACAAAAATAACACCGCATCCCTCGAGTTAACGCGGCATCTCAACAAATCAAAACCTTTAAACGTATTTTTAGCCACACGCTTTGTTTCTCTTTTTTTTTTCTTTTTTCTTTTTCAGTTGTAAAGTTGAGAATCGGGAATCACTGGTAGTAAACTCCACGCAAGATTCACCACATTCTCCTACTAAAAAATCTAAAAATAGATTATACACCTATTCTGATCGCTCAAAAAAAAAAAAAAATCCATCATCAACTAACTTTTCCTATTTTTTTCTGCTTCAGTAACGCCTGCAAAGAAATAGATGCCGAGGCTATGCTGCTACACGAGGAAGAGAACATGCTCCTTGCACCCAAATTTATGGACGTAGTGGAAATCGGGACTGGTTTTCCGTCCTGCTCCAACTCCGACAACTTAACGATTTTCAGCGACTATGAAAAAGCGGATCTTCAAGCTGATGCCAGTATACTCATCGATGGGCAGATATTGCCAGCCGAAGAGTTTTGCGTCGAGCGTATCGAGGATGTGGACAGCAAAAGTTTGGCCCTAAAAATCTTTACCTGCTCTGAACACGCAAATAAAGAGTGAGTTACTATACTTTTTTACTCAAAATATTATTCTGTCTCAAAATTCTTATGGTTTTTTTCATTTTGTGCTAGGTATGACGATTTTATGCTTTAAGAATCACGCTTTTACTTTCCAAGAATTGACGGAATAGAGTTGAAATTGAAACTATGCTACTTGACAATGTTGAAGCTAAAGCAATATGTATTTCATAGTTTTTAAATTGCATTTTTTTTTGTTGCCATCGTAAAACTTGATATAGGTTTGAGAAAAATGTACTGTAAATAAAGTTTTGTTTGAATATCCATAACTTTTTCTCGAAAGATATTAGCTTAAAATGTTTAATTTGTGAAGATACAATTTTGTCCACAGTGAAAACTTAGTAGTAATAGTCATTATTTTTCTCTATGATAATACCCCTTAAAGATGCCTCTTCTATGTAAACTATCAATTAGTAATCTATTATAAGCATAAAGATACTCACCAAATTTGAGTCTAATTAGATATAAATTATTTGACTTAGTTTGTCTTCTTGATTATGTACGTACATCCATCCGTGGATATATTATGCAAATATCTTGGACCAGCCTCTCATTTAGATGGATATTTTTTGTAACTTGGTAGCTACTAGGTATTTGAGAGTGTTACACTTTTTGATCTTCTAATAATATATGGCACTCACAGAAAATTGATGGTTCAATTGTAAAAATGATGTACTCTTCTATTGATTCCCTAAAGCCTCAGTTCAAACTTTCAAAAACTTTTTTTCCGATTTCGCTTCTCCGGATCAAAGACTAAGAGTATTATTGTTCAGAATGTACGCCGCGTTACATCGTTAAGATTAGTTGTAGATACTAGTTTATGGATTTCTGTTATTCCATTGAGATATGTTTTACGCTGAGGTGATACTGGAGACCCTAGAAAAGGATAAGAAGCATAAGTCGAGTCTATAGTGGAAAAGTTTTCTAAGCGTCCTTGTCCCACTATTCCCCTTCAGATTAAATAAATGAGAAAGGAATGGTATGAGGTTAGAGCTGTATCTGGATTCATAGGATGTAATCAAAATGACAGAGTCTGGAGCACTCTTTAAAAGCAGTTTCATTGTCAAAAGCAAGACTGAATTACTTTATTCAAAAAATTAGCTCATGAATTTCTGTCATTTTCCAATTTTTAAACTTTTAAGCCCGCAATTTTTGATAATTTACTTAACTGCTCACTGGTAAAGAATGTTTATTCATTAATTCACAAACTTGAAGCTAGAACTTATCAACAATTATGTACGAATTTCAATTGGCACTTATAAGCTTCTATCTCTTGACCCTCTTCTCCCGTTGCTCTTCAATGTCATGTCTTACAGTATTTAAAATGAGATCGTCTTTTTGGATTAACCGTAACAAAATTAGTGTAATGCAGAATATTAAATAACTAGTCATTCAGTATGCATTTCTCAGCAGAAGTTTCTCGTGTTATATGTTTGGTTATACTTATTAAGTATTATGTCGTTTTTGTAGCCCAAGGTTGCTTTTTTTCTTTCGATATGCAAGAGTTATTCATACTTATGACAGTTCGTATGTTAATTTATTCCGAAGCTCTAATTAAGTAGAAGTAGCCGTATAAAATATGCATGGATTTTGCATAATCGTATAATAACACAGAAATGCAGTGCACAAACAATAATTATATCAGAAATTTTTTACTTCAACTCTGTAATAGTTATCGTGGCGTAATAGATGTAAATTTTTACTCCTTTTTTTCACCCATCGTATAATTTACGACAACATACTTGAGGAACGGGACAAAATGAAAGCTTCTAGTTTTTTCTTGGAGTTGAAAATTCACTTTTTTTGCCACATACCCTCAGTATAGAAGCAAACACTAACTGCGTGTGCAAATACGAAAAAACCTGTTGATGTCATATATCGCAAGATTAGGGAACAAAAACTTATGTTGTCCACTCGTATTCAACCATAATTTTGATTCTTTCTTCTTATCTTTAACTCTTTTATCCATGCGGGCAATGAAAAATTACATACATAAAAATATTACCTGCCCACACTCGCTCATACACGTACATACGTGTTAACTCAACTACGTAATAAATGTACTCGATCCCTTAGCAAGTAACTTTTGATTGTATCTGATGAAATTTTTTGTTGACATTTTCGAAACTATGGTCACCACAGCAACGTACCTACACTAATGCTAAATGTACCTTTAGTAATACCAACTGCATATGAAAAAATTACGGGCAACTACATGTACGAGTGCAAATGTACGCGAAAGATAACAAAACTCTTGGATTGAAATTTTTAAAGGGAATCCACGTAAAGTAAACCGCCTAGAATAAAAAATGTAGGCAATATTTAAGCAAAGAGCCCATTTTTCCAGCCAAATTACTAGTAATACGTATTAAAAATGAATCCACAGAGAGGAGCTTTCTCATTTTTTCATTAAATGACGAGGTAAAGTTCGGATCATGAGGCACTTCCGATTCATCCGTGTCCTTCTCCAAATCCCTCCACCTAAACCAAGTAGATAATTTTTTTCTCGATGTGGCTGTTTCAGAGAACAGAAAAAAAAGAACACGAAGGAGTCGTAAGGAGAGAGAACGATTACTACCTTTGGTATTTTTACAAGGTTCCGCTTCGTGCGCGCGTAGAGTTTAACGATCGGAACGACGGCTCTTATTTCGCCTCTATGCCACAGCCTCTCTCTGCTGTGCTAGCAACGGTGATGGTACATACAGGCGTTTATACACGATTGGAGGATCCATCCGAGCTCCGTGTCGTGCTCTCTTTAAACTGTTCGTGGCTTCTTATGGATGTATATATACATTTACTCGCTTTTGTTGCACTGATTTTATTCTGCCAACTGGCCAGCCGATTGAGAATAAAATTATAGCTCGCAACCTGTTTTTCGCCTTTTCACTCACCCGCTCTCTCTCTCTCCCTCTTTTCTTTCTTCTTTCTTGTTTTCGTACGCTTGGCTGTACGTCGAGGAGCAGTTGTTGAGAGAAGCCGACACAATGGGGATATACAGAGCAGCACCAAGAAGAGTATATATATACATATATACTATGTGTATGGCTAGCTTGTGTGCAAGTGAAGGAAGTATGTGTTGGAAACTGGACTCCCGCTGCCCGCATAAGAATCTGGTTTACTTTTACTTTTTCTGAGGGTTAGCCCAGATATATATTCGGATACATTACATCTAGTTAGAAAGTGTTTTAGATATTATGTTTCGTCAGGATGACTGTCTCGTTTTTTTTTGTTTTTCATTACAAAACATCTTCAAAACATGCTCGATTGTTTTGTGAACCTTACGGGTCTATGATCTACACTGGATGTACATATTCTAGAGTCATAAATCTTTAGTTCAACAGTTGTTGGTGTTGAAAATAAAGCCAAACTTGATTCTCGAACAACTCTACCAACAATTTTTTACGAGTCTTACTTACATCTATGCTTTTTGATATTCATGACATTGTTTAGCTTAGTTACGGCTGGACATTTCCAAAAAAATTCAGCACGCTCTCTTCATCTTCTAGCTTTTTTTTATTTTGGCTCTGGCACGTTCTTCGATGCAAATCGATCGACACTCGCCACGACTCTTGATTCGAGGTGCTTTTTTTCTCAAGCCGATTATTTGTGATTCAACCACAAGAGGCCGTCGACTCCTCCAACCTGAGTATGTGTNGCCAGCCGAAGAGTTTTGCGTCGAGCGTATCGAGGATGTGGACAGCAAAAGTTTGGCCCTAAAAATCTTCACCTGCTCTGAACACGCAAATAAAGAGTGAGTTTTTCGTTTCTGTAAAAGATTTCGTTTAGTTTAAAATCGGACACCTGACAATTAAACAGGTATTCAGTCTATTTCTACATATTCAAAATGATATAAAAGGTGGTAACACCCTAAAGCTCTACGCAATGATACTCTGAATTGGAAGAGACATATAAATGAGAGATTAGTAGGAATTAACTTATTAATTGAAATTTTTCAACCATTTTGAAAACTTTGTTTTACTTAAAAATTTTGCTCACCTTTTTAATTTCTTACTTTGAACACAAATAAATCAAGTAAATCACTGGTATATTTATACAGAAGCTGTTGAAAAAAAAAAAAAAAAAATTCTGCTCATCAAACCTAAATTGAGCCTATTTTAGCTACTTCTTCTTATGATTCTCGAAAACTTGTTCCTATACCTTTGAGCAAAGAGAAGAAGAAAAAAAAGTTGCTCACCGCAAAACTTAGTTCCAAAAGACTTCATTAAACTCGATGTATTATTATTGTTTTAAAATGAAGCCAGGGAATCCTGTCATTTGCCACCATGAATGGCTCATTTCAAAACGCTCGGGCTCGGCAAGCGTACTTTCTCAACTGCGCGCCTATTCGGAATATTCATCAATGCGCGGCTCAAGGGGACCGAAATCTTTTGAAGCACGAACTTTTTGAGACGATTGTACGAATGTTACGCGCGTTTCTCCGCTCCCTCGACTCTCCCGTCTCTCGTTCCTCGCTAACGTTATATTATATTATCATTGTAGATACGCCAAGATCGTCTTTTCCAACTCACAGCGGCAAAATTTCTATCGAAACGGGGTACCACGGGGCAATGCTAAATATTGTTGACTGAATATAATTCACGTGTTCAAGAGAAGTTTCTCTCGCAGACGAATCGCTAGAGGAAATCAATGCCTATTGTACTGATGTGTGTATTAGGTATTGTTGCAGTATGGCACTTTGTTTGGGATAAAAACCAAAGTCTCGAGTGGAATTGTCTTGCCCAACCAGAAGTAAGAAAGCAAGCAATTTTGCTATACAGGCGCTTTCGTAGCAGTCCGTGGCTCCTTGTACGCTCGTGCCCTCACTTTCGTTGCTCTAATTTTATTCCGCCAGCCGAATTCAAGTAAAATTATAGCTCGCAACCTGTTTTTCGCCTTTTCACTCACCCGCTCTCTCTCTCTCCCTCTTTTCTTTCTTCTTTCTTGTTTTCGTACGCTTGGCTGTACGTCGAGGAGCAGTTGTTGAGAGAAGCCGCCACAATGGGCATAGATACAGAGCAGCACCAAGAAGAGTATATATATACTACATGTATGGCTAGCTTGTGCAAGAGTAAACTATGTATTGGAAACTGGTTGCCGCTACTCATACACTGGAATCTGTTTTACTTACTTTCACTTTTTTTCTGATAGATAAGCTACATCCAATCGAAGATTATTGCGGATTATACTTCTGCCTTTTTTTATCGCACCTGATCAAAAACGTACTAAATAGTTGCCTTGTGAATTTTATGAGTTAATTATCTACACAAAACTCTGTATGTACATTCTTAGAAGTGTCATAAACAATCGTCTGTAAGTTGTTGACTGAATTGTCAAAGGAAAAAAAAAATCAAAAGTATACCAATAATATCCGAATTCGTCTCATGACGAGTCAACTTCATTATTATTCTTGTCTACTTGACGTACACTGCTCCACCCACTACATTGCGACATTCCACGACACCAAAAATTGAACACAGTACAGTGGCAAGCCCTCAAAGAGACGAGAAAGAAAACAACCGGCAGAAAAACGATGTTCGATTCAGCTGCTAAGTATAAGCATTCCAAACAAATTCAGCACGCTCTCTGCATCTTCTAACTTATTTTTCTCGTTTTTTTTTTTTTTTTTTTTTTTTTTTTTTTGTCCAATTTCTCTCAATACACNTCTCTCTCTCTCTCTCTCTCTCCCTCTTTTCTTTCTTCTTTCTTGTTTTCGTACGCTTGGCTGCACGTCGAGGAGCAGTTGTTGAGAGAAGCCGACACAATGGGGATATACAGAGCAGCACCAAGAAGAGTATATATATACATATATACTATGTGTATGGCTAGCTTGTGTGCAAGTGAAGGAAGTATGTGTTGGAAACTGGACTCCCGCTGCCCGCATAAGAATCTGGTTTACTTTTACTTTTTCTGAGGGTTAGCCCAGATATATATTCGGATACATTACATCTAGTTAGAAAGTGTTTTAGATATTATGTTTCGTCAGGATGACTGTCTCGTTTTTTTTTGTTTTTCATTACAAAACATCTTCAAAACATGCTCGATTGTTTTGTGAACCTTACGGGTCTATGATCTACACTGGATGTACATATTCTAGAGTCATAAATCTTTAGTTCAACAGTTGTTGGTGTTGAAAATAAAGCCAAACTTGATTCTCGAACAACTCTACCAACAATTTTTTACGAGTCTTACTTACATCTATGCTTTTTGATATTCATGACATTGTTTAGCTTAGTTACGGCTGGACATTTCCAAAAAAATTCAGCACGCTCTCTTCATCTTCTAGCTTTTTTTTATTTTGGCTCTGGCACGTTCTTCGGTGCAAATCGATCGACACTCGCCACGAGTCTTTCTCTCGAGCCGATTATTTGTGATTCAACCACAAGAGGCCGTCGACTCCTCCGACCTGAGGAGGTGCGAACACGAAGCGACTGGCAAGGTCGTGGGCCTCCAGATTCATTGGCTTTTTGGACACGAGACGACGCCTTGCGCCTACAACGCCCACATCATACGTATCGTTGCATCTCTTTTTTTTTCTCACTGACTCACGTCTTTGGTACTCGATACAATAAGAACTCGGTTGTTATCCACCAGTAGTGTGTATCTTGGTTTTTTTTTTTTTTTTCGTAGACGCATTTTTATTCCTCTCTTCTTAAAAGATTCGACTCGCCGCGTGGCTCGAAAGTCTCGTTTTTCAGGAAACTTAATTTCTTGTTGATTCGGTGATGCAAGTCCATCGGAGGAGGATACATCATGTTTACCATTGGATTTAATATTATTTACGGATATGGGGTCCAAAGATCCCACTTTGCTTTTCGGTGTGTCGTTTCCACCATAGGTTGTCTAGAAAATAACTCTCCAAACAGCATTATCTGAGAGTGTAAACAACCTTGCCAGATAATAATACCAATTCAAACTTTATTTATCGGTCGTCAGTCTCTTTTGAATTTTTTTTTCTCTACTTTTATTCCTCGACGCATCCACCCTTGCACGAAACCATTGACGTGCTGAGGTATAGGCACTTTCATCATCATCGCGTCGCATATAATTTCAAAGGAGAAAAGAAGTAACAAGCGGAGAAAGAAGTACGCGGTATACTTCAAGTGCAAGTGTCGAGTGTAAACGCGAAAACACATACATTTCCATCTCTCGCTAATGTACTCGTGCGTAGGACCAAACACCCCCTTACTTGCTTACACTCACGCCCCCCCCCCGCGAACGATATGCCATTAATAAAATTCTCGCGCTCCTTACCACACAACTGTGACAGTGATAATAATAAAAAAGCGAGTTAAGCCTCTCGTGGTGCGACAATTGGATCTCGCGTAACGATCCAAGGGTGAACGAGCTCTCGCTGCTGGTGGTAACTTTTTTTTTTTTTTTTTTTACGACAAACGTCGGAGGAATTTTGTAAAGGAGAATAGCTATAAATTGTAAAAAAACGAGACAAAAGACTTTCTCAATCTTTCTATTATTGACACAATGCAGATGGAAAAAATGGCTCTTTAGGTGAAAAATTATATAGTAGGTATTACATTACTCGCCAAAAGTGTCGTGCACGTGTGGGAGCGCTAATCGATACTTATTACACCCAAGTGCTCGCGAGTTTTCACGTGAACACGCGTATACACACCGTGACGAAGCGTGAATTTTCTTCCGAAATTGGAATTGGGTACAGTTGAGCAGAATCAGGAGAGCAAGGAATTTCCGGCATTTCTATGGTTTTGGCGGGCTAGCTCATCTTCTCTTGCACGACACTTGGGAGCAAGTGTTATTATCGAGCCAAGGCAAACCTCGCTGTACGAAAACTCCCCCTCTCTTTCGCGCCGCTGTCAAATGGCTCTTCTTCGACTTCTCTTCCATACGTATACAGTACTTTGGCTTTTGTCGAGACTGGAATTCCTGGGGAGAGAGGTATAACCCCCATTACGTTGTGTCCCGCCTACATACCTTTCCCAAGTCTTTGTCTATTAAACTTTGCCATTTCTGCCTATAGATAACTGTACCGCAAATATCTTATGGATTTTAACGGTGCCTTGTTTTCTCAATGTGCCGTTTGGGATCGTTAAATTTCGGTTGATGCAATTCGTCGTATACCTACACGAAGGAAAAAAATTACATGAGAATTTTCTCCGCAAAAGCAACGGTAAAGTTGTGACCAGCGAGAGTCTTAGCTATAATTTTTACCATGGCTTTACAGTCATTTTTTTAGTGGAAAAATTTAATCTTAGTCAGCTATACTTTACACCCTGAAGCTATGGTTATTTTTCTTCTGATACACGTTGGTCGATAATAAGAGGATTATACTGCTACATGTTTATCTTATTTATAACCTCGTTTCATTAATAACTTTAGTACCTATAGTATCGGTCCATTATTGGGGTTTGACTTCGTGATTTTCGAAAAATTACCATAATTTTACGGTAAAAAGAAAAGAACGACCAACTAATAGTAATTTGTTGACTAAAAAAAGAATAGTTATTTACGTATAAAGTGCGGAAAAGACGATTTCCCGCACAAGTCGTGATTGACGGGAACGAGTGCCAGTTGAGCACACGAGTGCGGGAAATCGTCCCGCACGAGTTGCGTACAAGTTTTTTCGCAATAAGTGTGCGGAAAATAGGTGTTTTCCGCACACTATTGCGAAAAAAAATTATAGAATTTGTTGACCACGGTAGAAGTTCTTGTAACTTGTTTCTCAGTACGGGTAACCCAGCAAGCCTCCGTTAATATTTAAAATTTCAACTATTAAAACTTATAATAATATTGTAGAAAAATTTGGTACCACGTAGTGCCGAGAAATTATGGTTTCTAACGGTGCCCAGTCGGCTGCATCAAAGTCACTGGGAAATCAACGCTCCTTGGAAGAAAAATAAAAAATACACCAAAACATGTAGTATCATATCATAGCATAGCCGCAGACACTTCGTTGCTTGGCCGATCGAAGGAAAACATGGCTTTCACTCAATAAATCGCGATTCCCATTGCTTTTTTTTGGAAAATCCACTCTCTAAGTATGTATGTTAGCTTTCACCAAAAGACATGAGAGTCGGAGGCTCGAGGTTTTCCCCAAAATACCACAGTGTGAGGCGCCAGAGAAATTGAACGAAATGAAGAAAAAACAAAAAAGTTATAATTGACTCAGTGATAATAACCATGAAGACACGTAACATGTTGAAGGAAGGGCAAGTTTAATCATCAAAAACATCGGCCCGAGCCGGCACCAGAACAGCAGCGGGACGATGCTTCCGCCAGGAGCAATTAACGATCGTCGCTCACGCACGCGGGCTTTAAATTTCGCGAAAATTATTCGGCTGATTGATCCGATGTCGCACACGCCACGAGCGATGGAATTTTATCCCCCTCCTCCCACCCCCTTCTTTTTTTCGCTTGGCAGTAATCAAACGAACGAACCAGTTTGTCCCGTTAGGTGCTGGTTAGAGCAATTTGTCGTATTCTTCCAGCCCAGGGAATGCGGACTATACGCGACTCGGACTTATGATTAGTTTTGCAACACTTGTGCAACATCATAAAAAAATGCATGTGTGTGTATTATTTATCCCCAAGCGATTTTCGATTCATATACGCAGTTCGCACACCGTATGGAGTGAAAGTTGAATAAACTTTTTCAAACACAAACTTGTTTTCCTGTTCAAGTATAGATGGTTGCGTCTGTTCGACTCAAAACTAACCAAGTCGCTGCAGGAGGTCTATTATCCAAGTTGACAGTAACCATCGACAGTTATTGTATGTATGGAGCTCTTGTGAATGGTATTTGAAAATTTTATGCATTAAAATTTGAAAAATACCTACTCCTTCGAATGTAACTCTCTATTAAGATGTATATTTATAGATAAAAGCTCAACCTAAACTAAAATTTGAAGAAAAAAGGTTGGATCCTACTTGAGATATGTGAATCATTTCGAGAACTTTATGGTGAAAAGAGGAAAAAAAGGTTCTACACAGAGACCATAGTAATTGAAATTCCTAATCTGGTCGCATATTAGGTCACGATTACCGTGGAGTCGCTGGGAAAATTAAAATGTATAATGTTCCCTCGATTATTCTTCCCAAAGGTGCTTAGAGAGTAATCAAATTAAACGTGAAAATATTCAAATTGCCACTGTCCAAGTTAATGAACAGTTATTGCTTGATTTGCATTCACGACCTTCGCGGTAGGGATACCTATACTATTGGCCGGCCAGCATCCCCAACCCCATAAAAACTGAAATTTTGTAACGGCTAAGGCTGCAGCGGTTGATTTTCCTTCCTAGCTCGTTAGTGAATGCGGATGGGACCAAGAGTGCCTGTAAGAGTACGAAATGAGCAACTTGAGCCTTTCCCTCTTCCTTTTTACCTCGCCCCTGTAATTTGGACCCTTGGCTGTAGCCAAAATAACTCGCCACAATCGATCAAATCATCGTGCTAACTACTCATTATATTTTGAACGTCGTATACTTAATTTTTTATTCACTGCAACTTAACACAGTGAAAAAAAACCATCAATTACACTGTATGAGTTTACCGTCCAGTCATTATATAGGGTAACAATAATATGGCGAGTATTTCGCCATAAACTGAAACTTGGAGTATTCCTGAGTCTCAAAATTCAACTCACGTGTTTGAAGAAGAAAAAGAAAAAAAATTGATTGATGGACATTTGTTTTGTTGTTTCTGATGTTACAGAGCCAAGCGAGACATACGCTTCACCCTCTACCCGATGGGCTTCATAATAAGCGCAATATTCTTGGCCGCGACTTTGGCATCCGGCTGGTTGTTGCCCGCCTCTCATCACGTTCTCCACTGGCGCTGCCAGACGTACCACGTTGCCTGCCTCATGCTCGGAGATATCTCCATGGCCGTCATACAGCTGACCGGGAATTCCCTCCAGGGCGAGTGGTGCACCTCTGTCGGTGAGTACCTGCATATAATTATGTGTTTTCTCTCACTATGCCGGCCTTACATTAATCCGTACGTTTAATTGTGCACGTGCAGTAGAGGTACCTGCAGCGCCCCTTTGTACAACCATACCGAGGGTAGTACAAACACATAAATACACGTACAACTCTTTTTTAAGTACAAAGTTACACATACATGATACAAATGTCACGTCTATGCCTTTTACAAGTTGTTTTCCTTAAAATTATCATATTCCGCTAATCTAGTAGTGGATTAACATTCACTCTCGATATCTACTATATCTAACCAGCTTTTGGCTATTGACTCCGTGTGACAGATTTAATGAAAATAGGTGGTTGTTTCTCTTTGATCATAAATATTGCGATGATCAACAAAATGTCGTCAAACACGTTTAATTGGGAAAAATTAGAAACGTAATTGATTCGTTGGATCTTATTGATCGATTCTATAGCATTTATGATTACCCATCACCTACACGTACCACCACTTGAAAACGTATCGTTCAAATTCACTGAAGTGATCATCAAAAGTAATGAGCATTCGTTTTCACGTCGGAACTTTTAAATTGAACCCGCCAACCTGCGATAGGCATCGAACAACGGCAGCCTTTTCTGAATTTAATATTCATTAATCTCCGAGACGACGTCGTCGAGGCGTTCGTTCGAAAGCAAAGTAAAGAGAGAAGTAAGAAGCCAATGGCTCATTACCAATCGAAGGAGCTGCAGCAGAAGGACAACAGAGAGCAAGTGACGGATGAAGAAACGGCCAAGTGAAATCCAACTGGGGGGAGAACTTTCGTCGATGATGAAAAGAAGAAAATGTGAAGAAAAAGTGCGCAAAACAAGAAAATTGACAATCGAGCTTGCACGTCTGTACACGTTAAAAGTGAGAGACAAAGGGAAAGAAGCTCTCCAAAGAAAGAAAAAAAGCACTGGAGAATCGCAGGTCCGTAACAAAATGCGAAGAAGGAAATAAATCAGGGGATCGCCGAAAAAAGGGGAGGAGACAAAGAGAGTCGAAACTCCCTCCCTCCATTTGCAATTAGCTCGCTCTTTCTCTTTAGTCCTTATAGTAATAATCCCTGAAAGACGCGAAATTTTAGATTTATGATTCGCGTACAGTTCAAGACTGAGAGTGCGCTCAAAATATAATTAGTAGATAAGAATAAAGCGAACTATTAGGTTTTGTAAAAGTTACGTTCGACCCATGCAGCAAACGTTAGGTGGATAGTGGAGATAAAATGTTGCGTGTGCGAGTTGATGGATAATCTTTCAGTTCCCAAAGAATTTGCATCACAGTAGCCTCATCAAGTTGCATCAGCACGTCATAAGTACGTCAAAGTCATACGTCACATTGGGTCTTCCTTTAGTTTAGCGCAGGATAAGTATCATATTTTAACGTTATAAACGTGCACATCTTTGTGTAGGGCTTTCGCTTGTCCATTGGTATGAAAAATACAACATTATTAGAAGACACTTAGTATTATATGAAAGAATAACAAAACTAGACGTTGATCACTGAAAAATGTCCCGGGAATAAGCCAAGTGAATTCAATATCAAGGCTATTTGGACCGGAGAGTGGCGCCGCAATTATTTCGCTGGAGGAGGAAAAAATTTTAATATCAAACGGCGCAGCTGTCCGCCACCTGAAATTACTCGGGGAGGGAAAAAAAGAGTGTAAAAGGGATCAGTCAATATTTAATAACCCATCACCGCAATTTTTCAATATCCGCCAGCAGAAGCGGCAGGTATCGCTCCGTTCGTGCCTTTTTCTCATTTATACGGATACATGCTGCGTGTACATAGGTATATAAGAAGGTACGCGAGCTCTGATGATCGAATTTCAAAGATAATAATTGGATAACCCCTTAGTACGTGCACCGGCCAACGAATATTCCCATCATCTTCTCTTGCAAATATTTACACGTTGACGCTACCACCAGATCCTTTTAATTAAAGTACGGAAATAGCAATGACTCCGGTTTATATACATACACCCGAACTTGCAGGTTCATATCAAATAGTAATCAATTTACGTAGAAAATAAAAACGCAAATTGTATCCTCTCACATTTATTTCTGTTCATCATAAGAGAGATTGTTGAATTTTGGAAAACCGAAAGCTTTTGCAGACAATCAAGCTTCAATTAAAAATCAATACAATCAATACAATCAATACATCTACCGATATCCCCGTCCCTTCAAATAACACAAAGAGATTATATCTTTCTTTGGAATAAATTAAAATTTTATTGACATTTTCATGTACCTGCATTCAACGATGATCAAAGCACTCCTCCGATCGGCAATAAGCCAAACTGCTGCACAGACGCATGTATCGATAATAGTTAATGGCATTCTTTCGCTGATATTTGGCCAGTCCTGTTCTCCTAGTCTCCCCTCATTTGCCAAATCTCGGGGGAGTAATTATTCGGATAACCGCGAGCTGATCCCTCCCCTCATCCCCCTCACCCACGGTAGACCATTCCGGTTGATGTATCATAAAAGAGAGAATGCATTTACGCATACATGTACGTATGTATGCAGGTTGGAGTAGAGTGAGAAAACGTGCATAGCCAAAGCTCTTGGTTGGAATTCAATTAGTAGCTGATTGAGCGATGTGCGGATTTTGAAGGCCCCTCTGCCCCCATCTCCTCTCGGCGGTAGTATAGCGTTTGCGAAATTCTCCAAGAGCCTCTTACCACTTGTGGGCGCGAGTGAACGAGTGAATGAGCGAGTGAGCTCTAGTGTACTGCTACTGCACGTCGATTGTGGTGTACATGTAGTACCAAGCAATGGAGAGAACGTGAAGTGCGTGCCTTTGTTTGCGTTTGAGACGTGCGCTTACATTAGTTGCGGGTTTGTGCGTTTGGTGAGGGAGAGATGGATGCATGGGTTCGTATGTGTAGGGAAACCTTGAGAGATGGAAGGAGAGAAATGGTGGATGATGTTGGTGGTGACGGTTCTCGAAATACTGTAGCACTACTCGTGGTGTAGCTGAAAATATCAAGTTGACAGAATAATCGCGTGGTGTGATTTGGTGGTATGGTATCGATGTATGAGGCTCTTCAGCTTAGAATGAAGGGTCAAGCCAAAAAATTCAGCCTGTTAATTAATTTTCCTTATTTTCTATGTTTCATTATTCAATTCTTTTATTTATGTAGCAATTTGGTTTCTTCTCATTTTTTTTATCGGTATCCCCAAAAGCTATTTCGTTAATTGACCTTAAGGTGGCTAAAAGCCCGTAAAGTATTTCTTCTGATTCAACAGATGGCAGTGGTTTAATTTCTCATAATTACCTTTGAATGCAATTAAGTTTATGCTTTCTTGTTTTGCTTCTGAAAACTCGTGTGGCCAAGACTTCATGAAGTACCCTATGTCATGGCACCATAATTATATCAATATTACCTTTTTTTCCATAGTACTCTAGAAAATTAAATCAATCCAACTTTTAAACCTGCAAGCTTAAAATAACTTGGTCCAAAAGTTGTGGTTAGGTGAAAGTAATCTACTCATTTACGTCTATTAACGACTTCAAAACATTACTTTCTCCTGCGTGCTATGTAATACGCTGTTGCCATCATGGCCTTTTTATGAAAGACCAAACAGAGAAGGTGAGAGAGATGGAAAAGCTACGTCTCCGTAAAGCCGTTTACCAAATATCGTTTCAGAGTAAAGTAGGTAACGTAAAAAAAAAGGCTTATGAACCAAAGAGAAAGCAGGACGCCGTGGTGTCCCACATTCTTCCGGAGCATTCGTATGTGTGTCTTTTACGTGTGCACGAGTTGGTCTTATCTTTGGCGCCTTTTAAAAATAGATACGTATGTGTGACAAAAAAAAATACGCATTATTTATGTTCATCTGTTTATTTTTCATGTATACTCAAAAAAAAGGGGGGGGGTAATATCTGCAGAAATAGATGCTGGATTAAAACTACCGCTGTACCTCTTAGCACTTGAACATGTACGTGTTAATAACTTCTTTTTTTATTCTTAACTTTATTATATTATATATTAACTTCGTTTTGTTTCGTTTCGTTCAAGCACATGTTTGTGGTTGACACATTTTAACAATTTATAATATTGTCATTTAGTCAAAAAAACAAATATGTTATTCGCATGGCGTCTGATTCATTTTTATGATTGAATGCTTTATTTATCCTTTCTTTGAACTCATTGAGAGTATCTAACTTGATATTCTAGTTCCTAGGCGTTGCTATTCGTAAACAAATATTTATTTCTAGGAAAAAAGATAAAAAATAAATTTGGTAGCTACACTTGCGACGAAAACATCGTGATTTAGTGAAATTTATTTTCCATACATCCAAATTTAAGTTAATCCTGCGCGCTTCAAAGTAAAGTCATAATTGCGATTTTAAAAAATAAATTCCACTCTATGAATTCCAACTTGTTTTTCTCCAACATCAGATGCTCGTAAATATAATGGCGCAGAAAAAAATATCGAGTCAATTCATATAAGCTGTTATTGAAAGAGTAGAGTATAAAAATTGAAATGTATCCATACAAAAGTATGTCAAAACAAAACAATGGCACTTAAGGTATGCGCCACTTTCACCTGTCACGTCATGTAATGGCAAATCCAAAAATTAAAGAAAGGTAGTCCTCACATCGGGAGTCAAGAAAATAAATGAAGAAAACAAGATGTGGGCGGAGAAGGTCGTGGCAAACAAGCTGGAAAGCGTGATTCGCGTTATCTGATGTCTAGCTCTCTCTCTCTCTCTCTCTCTCTCTCTCTCTCTCTCTCTCTCTCTCTTCTTTTCCTCTTTCGTAGGATCTTTCTCAGCGCTAGCAGCTATGCCGTAAAATTACATAAAAATTGAATATCTAATAAATTGTCATTTTTCCCTCAAAAATACGTAAGTCTGAGATAACGTATAATATCTAAGTAAAATCTTTTAAAGTTTTGAAATTGTAGTTTTGGAAGAAATAATCAGTTTTGATGTAAAAAAAAGTTGCAAAATGCAAAATTTAATG